GGGAGGTGGGGAGGGAGACACACGCACGCGTATGAGGCAGCAAAATGGGCGATTCCGTCATCATTGATGTTTCTCTCTCCCTCCCTTCCTCTCAGTAAAATCATTTTTCTAAAGCATATCCTAGCCCAGCATCTTCCCTGACAAAGGTCAACCTTTTCCCTGAGCCTGTCTGCTGTCTTTTTGCATCTACAATAACATATCTTGGAATGCCAATGTAATTTCCCTTTTTTCCCCCAAATCCTCAAAGCACAGGCACCACTGCAAGACCACAAATCCCTTCACTGTTAATTGTTGACTGTTCACTATCCTGTACCCGGCTACGTAAAAAAAATGTTTATCAGCCGAAACCAGTTTGGCTCAGTGGTAGAGCATCGGTCTGCGGACTGAAGGGTCCCAGGTTTGATTCCGGTCAGGGGCATGTACATTGGTTGCGGGCACATCCCCAGTGGGGGGTGTGCAAGAGGCAGCTGGTCGATGTTTCTCTCTCGTCAACGTTTCTAGCTCTCTATCCCTCTTTCCTTCTCTCTGTAAAAAATCAATAAAATATATTTTTTAAAAAATGTTTATCATTTTACATTTTGGCCAACAGGATCTGCCCTTCCGGTTCCCTCAATTTGCTTTCTCCAGCCTCCCTAATCTATTAGCAGTGGACTTCATGTAACCAATATACATATGTCTCCTCTTTTTAAAAGAAATATTTTTATTGATTTCAGAAGGGAAGGCAGAGAGAAAGACTTTCTTTCACAGATGAGAGAGAATAATTGATTGGCTGCCTCCTGCACACCCCCTGTTGGGGATCCAGCAGCCAGACATGTGCCCTTGTCTGGAATCCAACCCAGGACCCTTCAGTAATGCTCTATCCACTGAGCCAAACTGGCCAGGGTTCACTGTTCTTTTAAAAAAATATATAACAAATACATACATGAGAAAATAGCCAAAGTTGATAGTTAGGTTGAACACATGATCACACATTTTACCCAGAATACAGAAATATAGCAAATACACATTGAAAAAATGTCCATAAATCTGTTGGGAAATGCAATCAAATGACAGTGAGGATCAAATCAAAGTTATAAAAAGGGTTGAAATGATTGACCAAACCAAATATTCTCTACGATATAGAGGAACTGACTCCTTCATATACTGCTGGATGAATGCAAAAAGTATAATTAGTTTATACCACAATTTTCTAATACTGTTAAGTATTCATTTAGTCTAGGACTCAAGACTATTCACTGAATTATTGACATAACTAAACAAAACATATCTATATAATGATACATTTTCGCTTGTACCAGCTTTACTTTCTTATTTTTAGAAATCTATTTTATAGAGACAGACAGTAATAGACAGAAACATACATTTGTTTTTCCAATGTTTATGCATTCATTGGTTGATTCCCCAATGTGCCCTGAACCTGCAACCTTGACATATCAGGAGAATGTTCTAACAAACTGAGCTACCCAGCCATGGCACAGGTTTATTTTCAATAGTGAAAAACTAGAAATAACCCAACGTGCATGTACAAAATGAATAAACTAATGGTTTATATATTTGAAGGTAATATGTTCATAGATAATATTTCTCTAGAAAAGAAATGATGAGGTACTAATGCATCACTAAATATATCTTCAACTATTTATGCAACAGAATTAAAGGCAGAAAACCCACTTTTATTGCCATCATAGAAATTCTATGAAATGCAAAGTCAGCTATTAAAATGAAAAGTAAATGAATGGCAAGGAGAGATTATAAAAGGATATAAGTAAATAGTAACACATATGGTTAGTATTATGACTGATGATGGTTTCAGTTTAATACATGTCAAAATTGATCAGATACTATACTTAAAATGTCATTTACCAAATGTATATTATACATACTAATAAGGATTTTTTAAAAATGTCTCAAGATTAAAAAAACTTATCTTCAACTCTTGAAAAATACAGTTTGCAACTCTATATTCAATCCACCCTCATACCCTCTTGGGGTCAGTCTTGCTTAGTGACAAGTATATCAAACAATGGGCTTTCATTGAAATCAACAGGAATGCTGGCTGGCTAACAATGTCATATATATCCCTGGAATATAACCCCTTTTCTTTTTTCTTTTAAATATATCTTATTGACCCTTTACAGAGAGGAAGGGAGAGGGATATAGAGTTAGAAACATCGGTGAGAGAGAATCATCGATCTGCTGCCTCTTGCACACCCCCCAGTGGGGATGTGCCTGTAACCAACGTACATGCCCCTGACTGGAATTGAACCTGGGACCTCTCAGTCTGCAGGCTGACACTCTATCCACTGAGCCAAACCAGTTTTGGCATGACCCCTTTTCTTTATCTTTGATTTCCTGCCTGGCCACCAGTGATCTTGAGATGAACTTCTAATTTGACTATAGAAATTCTCACACACACACACACACACACACACACACACACAAATTTTTAAGTGTTGACATTTTATTTTATTTTTAAATATTTTTAGCCGAAACCGGTTTGGCCCAGTGGATAGAGCATCGGCCTGCGGACTAAAAGGTCCTGGGTTCGATTTCAGTCAAGGACATGTACATTGGTTGCAGGCACATACCCAGTAGGGGATGTGCGGGAGGCAGCTGATCAATGTTTCTCTCTCACCGATGTTTCTAAACCTCTATCCCTCTCTCTTCCTCTCTGTAAAAAAATCAATAAAATATATTTTAAAAATATTTTTATTGACTTCACAGAGGAGGAGGGAAAGATAGAAACATCAATGATTAGAGAATCAGTGATGGGTTACCTTCAGCATGCCCCGCACTGGGGATCAAGCTTGCAACCTGGGCAGGTTTCCTGAGCGAGAATCAAACCATGACCTCCTGGTTCATAGATTGACACTCAATCACTGAGCCATGCCAGCCGGGCCATTTTTTGTAAAAGATTGCAATAGAAACATCAATGATAATAATCAACCCTAGCCTGTTTGGCTCAGTGGGTAGAGCGTCACTCTGTGGACCAACGGTTCCTGGGTTCAATTCTGCATATAGCTTGGTTGAAGGCTCCTTCCTGATGGCCATGGCCTAATGCAGAAGGCAAACAGATGTGTTTTTCTCGCATCGATATTTCTGTCTTTCCCGCTCTCTAAAAAAGATCAATGGTGCCCTCGCTGGCTTGGCTCAGTGGATAGAGCATCGGCCTGCTGATCCAAGGGTCCCAGGTTCGATTCCGGCAAGGGCACATGCCTGGGTTGCAGGCTTGATCCCCAGTGGGAGGTGTGCAGGAGGCAGCCAATTGATGATTCTCTCTCATCATTTTAAAAAAATATATTTTATTGATTTTTTACAGAGAGGAAGACAGAGGGATGGAGCGTGAGAAACATCGATGAGAGAGAATCTTTGATCAGCTGCCTCTTGCACACCCCCTACTGGAGATTCGCCCGCAACCAAGGTACATGCCCTTGACCGGAATTGAATCTGGGACCTTTCAGTCCGCAGGCTGACGCTCTATCCACTGAGCTAAACCGGTTTTGGCGATTCTCTCTCATCATTGATGTTTCTATCTCCTTCTTCCGTTCTCTCTGAAATCAATCAACACACACACACACACACACACACACACACAAATGGGAAAATATCCTTGGGTGAGAGCAAAATAATAAAAAATTAAAATGATGAGAATTACTGATTGGCTGCCTCCTGCACACTTCCTACTGGGGATTGAACTCACAAGCCAGGCTTGTGCCTTGGCCAGGAAACAAATTGTGACCTCCTGGTTCATAGGTCGATGCTCAACCACTGAGCAACGCTGGCTAGGACTAAAAATCTTTCATCGTAAGTCACAGAAGATGAACAGGCCTGGAGACCCTCAGACGTGTGTCCACACTGACATATTCTCTTTCGCAGATACATTTCTGGAGGCACGTTTAGGAGGCACATTTAGCTGGATGCAGTCTTTAACAATGCCGAGTAGGCCAGTGATTCCGTAGCAAGCACAGCTTTCCTCTAACCGCTACATCCCACAGCCAGTTACCATCAACCACGTAATTGTGGACATAAGGGCACATGGCTCTTTATAAGAACTTGGAAAATAATTCCCTTCAAAAGTACTGGCATACCTTGTGAACAAGGTACAAATTAATGCTGCTCCCAGAAGCACTTGAGGTTACAACCCCTGACCCTCTTTAGGGTGATTTCTGAGGCTCCTAAAGTTCATAGCATTTAAGCTTCACATGACCAGAAAGCCCTGCAATCTTTCCTCAAAAGATGTGAACAGTAATGCAGATTTGGCAAAACCTGGTGAGCTAGTTTCTGTGCCCAGGCCATCCCCTGTAATACAGAGAAATTTTGAGGCCCCTCACATAAAAAGTTTTTTGTAGAACCCAAATTTGCTTATAAATTGTGCCACACATTAACTAATATACCCAAGATTGAAGAGTACTTAATAAAAAAGTAAGACACCCATTATTTTACAAACCCAAGGAACATGAACCTGGTACTTCTTGCAATGGAGACTTGGAAATTGGAAATATTTGTCACAGGTATCCAGGGAAGCCAGGCCCCTGAGAAAGTCCTTCTCAGGCTGCCAGATGACATTTTCCGGGTTATTACCGCATCAGGTCCATTCCCCAACTGTTCAGAGTGAACAGAATGCAGATCCCCTAAGAGCTCAGGCTATTCCTAATTTCCTCCAACAAACCAAGAATCAGAGTAAGCTGCCCTGAGCACATTAGTATGGTGACTGATGCAAACTGTGGGAATCTTCTAGAAGTTATAGGTGAAACATCTCTGACCAGAAGCCTCTGTAGTGACGAAAATCTGGCAAGAGATGTGTGTAGATCAGAAAGTGCAACGTAGACACACGTGCTTCCCACATAACTAACACTTACGGGGAACCTCCCTACTGTTGATGTCTTATGCCCGAGATTAAATTCAGGCAAACGGAACCTCAGAGTTTCCTACAGTGTTATTAACACTGAAAACAAAAAACGCAAGCAAACAAACAAAACCACCTTAGAAGGCCTATACATCTAAGGCCTTCCTTCACTGTGAACTCTCGAGTGCTGAGCGAGGTTAGATTTTCGGGTAAAAAATTTGCCACATTCAATGCACTCAAAAGGCCGTTCTCCCGTGTGAACTCTGTGATGATACTGGAGGGTGGAACGGGAAGTGAAAGATTTCCCACACTCACTGCATTCGTAAGGCCTTTCTCCTGTGTGAGCTCTCTGGTGAATAGTGAGGTGAATTCTTTGGGTGAAGGACCTCCCACACTGATCACACTCGTGGGGCTTTTCTCCCGTGTGAAGTCTACGGTGCCGAATGAGTATTGAGCTGTTCGTGAAAGACTTATCACATTCACTGCACTGGTAAGGCCTTTCTCCGGTGTGCACTCTCTGATGATATCCAAGGGCAGAGACAGAAGTAAAAGCCTTCTTACATTCACTACACTCATAAGGCCTTTCTCCAGTGTGGATTCTCCTGTGTTTAGAGAGGTACGAATTCTGGCTAAAGGTTCTCCCACAATCGGTACATTCGTAAGGTTTTTCTCCAGTGTGAACCCTCTGGTGTTGATTCAACTGGGAACTATCCCTAAAAGATTTCCCACATTCACTGCAGTCAAAAGGCCTTTCTCCTGTGTGAACTCTCCGATGACAACGGAGGGCAGAGTTAGAGATAAATGATTTCTCACATTCGCTACACTCATAAGGCTTTTCTCCAATGTGAACTTTCTGATGATATCGAAGGGAGGAGCCAGAGGTAAAGCATTTTCCACATTCACGACACTCGTAAGGCCTCTCTCCTGTGTGAACTCTCTGGTGTATATTGAGATGATTTCTTTGGGTGAAAGATTTCCCACATTCACTGCACTCGTAAGGCCTTTCTCCTGTGTGAACTCTGCGGTGTCGAATGAGAATTGGTCCATTGGTAAAAGTTTTCCCACAGTCACTGCACTCATAGGGTTTTTCTCCAGAGTGAACTCTCTGATGATAACAGAGGGCAGAGCCAGAGGTGAAAGATTTCCCACATTCACTGCATTCAAAAGGCTTTTCTCCAGTGTGAACTCTCTGGTGTTGGGACAGGTAAGATTTGTGGCTAAAAGATTTTCCACATTCACTGCACTCATAAGGCCTTTCCCCTGTGTGAATTCTTCGGTGTATAATGAGGTGATTTACTTGAGTAAAACATTTCCCACAATGACTACACTCAAACGGTCGTTCTCCTGTATGAACTCTCTGATGATAACGGAGGCCAGAACTAGAGGTAAAAAACTTCCCACATTCATTGCATTTATAAGGCTTTTCTCCACTGTGAACTCTCTGATGATAGCGGAGGGCAGAACAAGACGTAAAGGCTTTCCCACATTCACTACACTCGAAAGGCCTTTCTCCTGTATGACATCTCCCATGTTCAATAAGGTCAGTTTTCCGTTTAAAGAATTTCCCGCATTCGGTGCACTCAAAACTCGTTTCTCCAGAATAAACTGTCTGTTGCTGTGGACTAAGAGCAGAGCTTTGCCTAAAAGATGGCGCACATTCACAACAGACGAAACAACTTTCTCCAGTGTGGCTTCTCTGAGGGTAAATGAGGACAAATTTTTGGTTAAAAGATTTCCCACATTTGCCACACTTGAGCTGCCTGGCCGCAGCATGAATTCTTCGGTGCTGAGTGAAGGCTGAGCTTCCCCTAAAGGATTTCCCACAGTCGTCACATACAAAAATACTGTCATCATGGAGTTTCTGGTGAATGACCACTGAGGATTTGTACCTGAATCTTTTCCCACACTCACGGCACGCAAAACCCTGTTTTTTACTGTTCACTCCCGAGTCCTGCACGTGTGTGTGCTTAGGACTGAAGGCTTTCTCGCGTTCTTCCCTAGTATTGTTCCTTTTTCTGTTCTGAGAAGTCCCCTTACGTTTGGAGCTTTTGTTTGGCTTCTCTGTGGTGTGAGTGGCCTGTTGCAGATGACCTGAGGCGGCCGGGCAGTTCTTCCCAACCCCCGCACGGGTAGAGGGCTTCTGTGACTTCTTGAAATCGCAGCTCTTTGCAAACGAGGGTCTATCCGCAGTGCTCACGAAGAGTTCCTCTCCCCTGAGCTGCTCCTGGTCATGCTGACAGTTTGCACTGAAAGAAAATTGTTTTCCACACGCCCCACAGCTCAGTCTGTGTAGTGTTTCCCGGTGCTCAGTCAAATGAAAGATATCAGTCAAGACTGGACCACACATCTCACAGGGGTGGATGTTCTGGGAAGACTGAGATTCTCTTGAAGTCCTGGCCTGTGGTACTCCTACAGGAATGCTCTGTTCACATGGATCCTCCACATTCTTTGTTCCACAACAGCAGCCTAAGTGCAAAGAAATGATGGTAAATTACACACTGACTTTATTGGCAAGGGGCAACCCAACCACCAATGTATAAATCTTCAACAAAAAAAGAACAGGGATAACTATGATTACATCAGACAGCATGACTTTAAGTACGGTAAAAAACTGTCACGTGACAAAGAACTTCTTTATATAATGATAAAGCAGCTAAGTCAGCAAGAAAATATAACTATTATAAGTACAAATGTACCCAGTATCAGACACCTAACTATATTTAGGAAGTAATGATCTGAAGAAAAGAATAGACAGCAAGGCAATAATAGTTGATGACTTCAATACTCCACTTTCAACAATGGATAGATCACCCAGACAAATATATCAGTAAAAGAATATTGAAACTGAACTTTTCTTAAGAGCAAATGGTCCTGGACCTGGTCAGATAGCTCATTTGGTTACAGCGTGGTCCTGATACAGGTTCAATACCTGCTCAGGATACATGCAAGAATCAATCAATGGCCGAAACCAGTTTGGCTCAGTAAATGGAGCGTCGGCCTGCGGACAGAAAGGTCCCAGGTTCAATTCTGGTCAAGGGCATGTACCTTGGTTGCGGGCACATCAGAGGCAGCTGATCGATATTTCTCTCACATCGATGTTTCCAACTCTCTATCCCTCTCTTTTCCTCTCTGTAAAAAATCAATATGTTAAAAATAAATAAATAAATAAATAAATAAACAAACCAATGAATTTACGCATAAGTGGGACAAAAAAAAAATCAATATTTCTCCCTCTCTCCCTTCTAAAATCAGATATATAACAGATATATCCAGAACAGTCAGCAGTGTGTAGATTCTGCTCAAGTGCAAAATAAACATATAATATAACAAATCACATTAGATTACAAAACAAGTCTTAACATGTTAAGTGCCCAGTCAGTCACCGGTGACTGACACTATACTTTCCGTCTGGAAGACAAAAAGCTTAAAGTGTTAACAACCTTAAGAAGGCTGAAATTATATCAAATATCTTTTCCAAACAAAATGGCATAAAACTGGAAATCACGAGAGAAAGCAAGCTAGAAAATAACAATTATGTAAAATTTAAGCAACAAACTCCTGAAAAATCAATGGGTCAAAGATATAAAAAATACATAGACAAATGAACATGGAAACATAACACACCAAAATACAACAAAAGCAGCAGAGGGAAGGTTATAGTAATAAATGCCTAACTTAATAAAAGAATGATCTCAAACAAACTCCCTTTATATTTTAAGGTATAAGAAAAAACAACAACCCTAGCAGGTTTGGTTCGGTGGACAGAGTGTCTGCCTGAGGACCAAAGGGTCCCAGTTTCGATTTCGGTCAATGTTACTACCTCAGTTGCAGGCTTCTCCTTGGCCCTGGCCCTAGTCAGGGCCTGTGCAAAGAGCAACAAATTGATGTGTTTCTCTCACATCGATATTTCTCTCTCTCTTCCAATCTCTCTAAATGGAAAAATTCTTGGGTGAGGATTAAAAAAAGAAGAAAAAAACCCCCATCAAACTAAGGTCAAAGTAAAGAAAGCAAATAACAAAGATAGCAGAAATAAGTGAAAAGGAGAGAAAAACAATTGAAAAGATTCATAAAAAAGAACTGGTATTTTGAAAGGATGAACAAATTGATAAGCATTTAGATAAAGTAAGTAAAAAGACATATAAGATCAGAAATAAAAGGAGATATCACAACTGGTAGTTTAGGAATACAATCCTATATAACAAAGGCTAATATGCAAATTGTACCCATGGGCAGGAGTTTGACCAACAGGGAGTTAGATATGCGCTGACCACCGGGGGGTGGCATGGAACATGGTGGGGGTCAGCGACTCGGCGCTGGCAGTGGGCGGCAATGGAAGCACTGCCAGCACTGATGGGCCTGGATGAGAGCAGGACTGCAGCAGATGATGGAGCAGGTGAGGGGGTGGTGCCTGGCTAAGGTGGGGGCGAGGGGAGGGGGTGTCCGAAGACCCCACTGGTCACCCCACAGATTGATCCTGATCGCTAGCCAGGCCTAGGGACCATATCGATGCACGAATTTTGTGCATTGAGCCTCTAGTAGAAAAATAAAATAAAGAATACCCAAATTAGAATAGAAGCAGCAAAACTGTCTTTTTGTAGCTGACATCATCTTATATATAGAAAACACTAAAGATTCAACCAAAACACCCTTAGAATTAATCAAAGAATTCAGTAAAGTTACAGGATTAAAAAATATATATCCAGCCCAAACCAGTGTGGCTGAGTGGATAGAGCGTTGGCATGCGGACTGAAGGGTCCCAGGTTCGATTCTGGTCAAGGGCATGTAACTTGGTTGCAGGTACATCTCCAATGGGGTTATGCAGGAAGAAGGTGATCAATGTTTCTTTCTCATCGATGTTTCTAACTCTCTATCCCTCTCCCTTCCTCTCTGTAAAAAAATCAATAGAATGTATTAAAAAAAAAGTACATATTATATACTATATATATATATATATCTCCATATATAAAACTCAGTTGCCATGGCCAGTAAACTAAGTTGGTTAGAGTCATTCCAATATGCCAAGATTGCAGGTTCAACTTTCGATCAGGGCACATAAAAAGCATCAACTATGCTCAGTGGATAGAGTGTCAGCCTGCGGTCTGAAGGGTCCTGGGTTAGAAAGCAGCCAAGGACCCATGCCTGCATTGCGGTCACAATCCCCAGTGGGGAACATGCAGGACGTGATCGATCAATGATTCTCATCATCGATGTTTCTCTCTCTCACCCTCTCCCTTCCTCTCTGTAAACAATCAAGAAATATATATTTTAAAAAGCAGAAACCAATCTACAATAATAAAAGTGTAATATGCTAATTAGACCAGTTGTCCTTCTGGACAATCTTCCAGACCAGGCCAGGGCTGCAAGGGAAGCTCAGGTCCAGGGTACCGAGGGGAGCCGGTGCTAGTCGGGGGAATGAAGGCTTACTCTTGCTGAATTTCGTGCATCCAGCCTCTGGATGTGAGAGGCAGCCCCATCCGTTTCTCTCTCTCTCTCTCTCTCTCTCTCTCTCTCTCTCTCTCTCTCTCTCTCTCTCTCTCTCCACACACACACACACACACACACACACACACACACACACACACCTGGGCTACAGGCTCAATCCCCTGCCCCAGGTGGATGTGAGAGGCAGCCCCATCCGTTTCTCTCTCTCTCTCTCTCTCTCTCTCTCTCTCTCTCTCTCTCTCTCTCTCTCTCTCCCTCTCCCCCTCTCCCCCTCTCCCCCTCTCCCTCCCTCCCTCCCTCCCTCCCTCCCTCCCTCCCTTCCCCTTTCTAAAGAAATAAATCAATGAATCTGTCCTTGTCCTCAGGTAAGAAAAAAAAAATCTGGAATGTATATATAAAACTCACACAATTCAACAAAAGAATAATTCAATTAAAAATGGCAAAGGATGTGTATAGACATTTATTCAAAGACATACAAATGGCGAAGCGATACCACAAAGATGCAAATTCAAATCACAATGAGATACTACCTCACAGCTGTTAGGATGGCTACTAACAAAACAAGTTAACCAGGATATGAAGAAAAGGAAACCTTTGCACACTGTAGGACTGCGCGTCAATTCAGCCAACTATAGGAAACCAACTATAGGAAAACCAACTATAGGAAAGTTCCAACTATAGGACCAACTATAGGAAAGTTCCTCAAAACATTCAAAATAGAACTACCATATGGTCCAACAATCCCACTTCTATTACCTTTATTTATCCAAAAGAAACAAAAGTCAGTATCTCAAAGAGGTATTTGCATGCCTATGTTTATTGCAGCATTATTCATAATAGCCTAGAAATTACCTAAAGAACCTTCTACAATTGAATGAATAAAGAAAGTCTGACACACACACACACACACACACACACACACAATGGGGTATTATTCAGCCATTAAAAGAAAATCATGCATTTGTAACATCAATGAACCTGAAGGGCATAATGCAAAGTGAAATAAGCCAGACAGAGAAAGACAGATATTGTATAATATCACTTATATGTGGAATCTTAAAAAAAGAGTTGAATGAAAAAAAACACAATGCCAGAGACTAGGGACTAAGGGAAATGGGGAGATATTGGTGAGTTACAAAATTAAGTTCTGAGACTTTAATGTAAAACATGGTGACTATAGTTAATAATGCTATACTGCATACTTGAAATTTGCTAAGAGTGCACATGAAAAAGGTAAATACAATAGTCTGCTCCAATCAAGGGTGATGCATTCCAAGAAGCCATGAGTACCAGCCCCCTATATAAGGTAATGGATTCATTAATTTGACTGCACTAATCATTTCACAATGTATATGTACAATTAATTATATTATACACTTCAAATACATACAATCATATTTGTCAATTATACCTCAATAAAAGCCAGAAAAAATATCTAAATATCGTAGTACAAATAGTACAGGGCAGTCTTTTTATTTATTTATTTATTTTTAAAATATATTTTTATTGATATTTTACAGAGAGGAGAAAGGGAGAGAGATAGAGAGCTAGAAACGTCAATGAGAGTGAAACATCAACCAGCTGCCTCTTGCATACCCCCTACCGGGGATGTGCCCGCAACCAATGTACATGCCCTTGACCAGAATCGAACCTGGGACCTTTCAGTCCGCAGACCGACGCTTTACCACTGAACCAAACCGGTTTCGGCCAGGGGAGTCTTTTTAAAAATATATTTTATTGATTTTTGACAGAGAGGAAGGAAAAGGGAGAGAGTTAAAAACATTGATGAGAAAGAAACGTCAATCAGCTGCCTCCTACACACCCGCCACTGGGGATGTGCCCACAACCAAGGTACATGCCCCTGAGTGGAATCGAACCGGAGACCCTTGAGTCCGCAGTCTGACGCTCTATCCACTGAGCCAAACAGGGCAGTCTTAAGAAATAACCCATACTAGCTGGTTTGGCTCAGTGGACAGAGCACTGGCCTGCAGAAGGAAAGATCCCAGGTTCCATTCCGGACAAGAACACATGCCCGGGATATAGGTTCGATCCCCAACAGGGAGCATGCAGAAGGCAGTTATCACTGATGTCCCTCTCTCTCCCTCTCCCTTCCTCGCTGAAACCAATAAAAAATACTAAAATAAATAAATAAAGTAAAATAAAAAATAATCAAAGGGTCTGGTAAGTAATGACCATGATGATGCCTGTAATTGCCAGCATAGGCAAGCACAAGAAAAGGTCAAATAAAAAAAGGAGGAGAAAACGGAAGTGCCATCTGCCTGGATACGTGGCCCCGCGGGACTAAGGGAAAACAAGGCGGGTCATTAGGCTCCTATGCGCGTTCAGCACGGCCTGTGTCCAGGCTGCAGGGAGAGAGAGGGCCGTGCAGACACACAGCCCCTACCAACTGCCCAGAAAACCGGGGGGCAAGCAGTGCCCACAGTGCACATGAGGAGACAGGGCACCCCCCAGGGGGAGGGGGACGTGGGGAAATGCAAAGGCCAGTCCGGCTCATGGGGGAGAGCGAGGCCTTACCCTGAGAGGACACAAGGGCAAAGTTCTCCAGCATCACATCGAGATACAGGCTTCTCTGAGCCTCAGGAAGGAGGCGCCACTCCTCCTGGGAGAAGTGCAGAGCGACATCCTCAAAGGCCACGCGGTCCTGTCAGGATTAAACAAACAAAACATGAGCAGTGTTTCTCCGTACCACCTCCTCATCCGTCTTCCCATGGCTCATCCACAAGGGCCGTGGCTGGCAAACTCGTTAGTCATCATAGCCAAATATCAACAGTACAATGATGAAATTTCTTCAGAGAGCCACATTTTTTAAACTTAAACTTCTTCTAATGCCACTTCTTCAAAATAGACTTGCCCAGGGCGTGGTATTTTGTGGAAGAGCCACACTCAAGGGGCCAAAGAGTCGCATGTGGCTCGAGAACCACAGTTTGCCGACCACACCCCTAACCAGTTTGGCTCAATGGATAGAGCCTAAGCCTTCGAACTGAAGGGTCCTGGGTTCAATTCTGGTCAAGGGCATGAAACAAGGGCAACTCATGGGTGTTTCAAACTCACTATCCCTCTCTCTTCCTCTATGTAAAAAAATCAATTAAAAAAATATATTTTTTAAAAACTCACCACAGCCAAAACCAGTTTGGCTCAGTGGATAGAGCATCGGTCTGCTGACTGAAAGGTCCCGGGTTCGATTCCGGTCAAGGGCATGTACATTGGTTGTGGGCACATCCCCAGAGGGGGTTGTGCAGGAGGCAGCTGGTCGATGTTTCTCTCATCATCGATGTTTCTAGCTCTATATCCCTCTCCCTTTCTCTCTGTAAAAAGTCAATAAAATATATTTAAAAAAACAACAACAACAACAAAAAACTCACCACAAAGTCTGGTGAATCCATACAGTAGTGGATAAACAGAAGCCCCGCCCTGTTGGGGCATTCCTCTCTTTTTAAAAAAAAGTATTTTTATTGATTTCAGAGAGGGAAGGAGAGAGAGAAACATCAATGATGATCAGCTGCCTCCTGGGCACCCTCTACTAGGGATCAAGCTCACAACCCCCGCATGTGCCCTTGGCCAGAATTGAGCCTGGGACCCTTCAGTCCGCAGGCTGCCGCTCCCTAACCGGCTGGGGCTAGTGTCATCTCTTAATTCCTCCTCCATCTTCATGGCTATTCCACGGAAACCTGGGCTCCCCCACCCCCTGCCAGATCAACCTCCCTCCCACACCATTCCCGCCATCACTTCCCTCCTCAGCACGAACCTCCTCTTTCTGATCCCATAATCAGCATTACCCCCACGACCTGCATTCCCCTCCTTACAGGTGACCCACCGCTCCACCCTGGTCCACAACCAGAGCCAGCCTTTTGCATGCCTCCATCACGAAACCCTCCCCAGATCTCCAGGCCTCCACTCACTGTTCTCTGAAACTCCTCAGACCAACAATGACAAGTGTTATTGGATGAAGATGGGTGTCAAACTCAAAAACAACTTGCAGCCCTGGCCGGGTTGGCTCAGTGGATAGAGCGTTGGCCTGTGGACTGAAGGGTCCCAGGTTCCATTCCTGGTCAGGGCACATGCCCAGATTGTGGGCTTGGTCCCCAGTGGGGGGCTTGTAGGAGGCAGCCGGTCAGTGATACTCTCTCATCATTGATGTTTCTCTCTCTCTCTCTCCCTCTCCCTTCCTCTCTGAAAGCAATATAAAAAAAAATAATAATAATAACTTGCAGAAAGATTAAACGTTGCTCAGCAAACAATTTCCGATCATTTACAAGCAATGGGAAGGATTTTAAAGGAAGAAAAATGGGTGCCACATCAACTGAAGGAAGGACAAATGGAAAACCAAAAAGTCATCAGTAAAATGTTGCTTCAACGGCACGAAAGTCTTTTTTACATCGAATTGTGACTGGCGAAGAAAAGCGCATTTAGCCGAATCCGGTTTGGCTCAGTGGATAGAGCGTCAGCCTGTGGACTGAAAGGTCCCGGGTTCGATTACGGTCAAGGGCATGTATTTGGGTTGCGGGCACATCCCCAAGAGGGGATGTGCAAGAGGCAGCTGATTGATAATTCTCTCTCATCTATCCCTCTCCTTCCCTCTCTGTAAAAAATTAATAAAATATATTTAAAAAAGAAAAAAGAAAAGCGTATTTATTTTGAGAATCCCAAACACACAAAACCATGGGTTTATCCGGGTCAACCATCAACATCGATGGCCTCTGTTGTTTCAGCTGCTAAGACCAAAAATGCTGAGGTTGTTCCCAACTCCTCCTTTTCCCCCTCACCTACAGCATCCACAATTCTACATGGCCTGTCTTTAAAAATGGACCCAGAATCCAACTTCTTCCACCTCCACCATCACCACTCCTGCCAAACAACTTTAAGTTTAACAAAAGGCTGGCTTCTGGGTTCGAGCAGCTGCCCCCTCCTGGGCTCTGACTCCTCCCTGAGCCCTGTAATGTGTCCTCCGTGTGCAGCCAGAGAAAAGCTGTTACATCCCGGAGAGACCAAACCCTTCTTCTGGTCCAAACCTCCATCTGCCTCCACAATAGATGCCCAACTTCTTAGGCAGCTACATTACAGGTATGATTACTATATTTCTTTATTAATTTTAGAGAGGAAGGGAAAAGGAGAGATAGAAACATTAATGATGAGAATCATTGTTCCACTGCTTCCTGCATGCCCCCTACTGGGGATTGAACCCACAACCCAGGCATGTGCCCTTGACCAGAATCAAACCCGGGACCCTTCAGTCCTCAGGCCAACGCTCTATCCACTGAGCCAAACCAGCTAGGACTCCCCCACCCCTACTCTTTATTCTTAAAAAGAATGGAGACCGGCCCTGGCAGGGTGGTTCAGTTGGTTGGAGAATTGTCCTGTATTCCAACAGATTGCAGGTACGGACCTAGTTTGGGGGTTTGATCCTGGGTCAGGACAAGGAGAGGATTGATGTTTCTCACATCAATGTTTCTCTCTCTCAAGTCAATAAGCGTATCCCTGGATGAGGACTGAAAAACAATTTACTAAAATAAAAATAGAAAAATAGAAAAAGGGAAAAAATGGAGATCTGCACTGCCTATCCCTGGCTTCCTCCAAGCATTTGCACCTGCCGGTGTCTGGGTTAACCTCCCACACCTGTGCACACGGGTTGCCAGAAATGAGAGCCCATCAGTGCCAAGTGAGCAGGTGTCCAAGGAATCCCCGGCCGCCCTGGAGTCCAGTGCCCTCTGTGCTGCCCGAGCCAGCTGTGATCTTGGGCAAGAACCCAAGTAGCTGGGCGAGCACAGTGGTGGTGGCCGGAGTGTGTGTAAGCCATCAGTCCAGCATCCCCCTTGGGCCTCCTCACTCCCATCCTAGACTTGCTGTCTCTCTGAGCAGCTTTTTTTTTTTTTTTTTTTTTTTCCTGTTTCTGAGCCACTTTTGTAAAACATTAAAAGGCCTGTCACAGCCCTAGCTGGTTTGGCTCAGTGGATAGTCTGGCCAGTGGACCAAAGAGTCCTGGATTTGATGTGTTTTTCTCACAGTAATATTCGTCTGTCCTTCCCTCTCTCTAAACATCAATGGAAAAATATCCTCAGGTTGCCTTGACTGGTTTGGCTGCAGATTCAAGGGTCCCAGGTTCCATTCCAGTCAAGGGCATGTGCCTTGGTTGCAGACACATCCCCAGTGGGAGGTGTGCAGGAGGCAGCTGATCAATGTTTCTAACTCTCTTATCTCTCTCCCTTCCTCTCTGTAAAAAATTAATAAAATATATATTTTAAGAAAAATATCCTCAGGTGTAGGTTAAAAAAATCCTATATAATAAAAGCCTAATATGCTAAGTGCCTGGTCATCTGGTTGGGCGTTCAACCAATCAAAGCATAATATGCTAATGATAGCCCTAACTGGTTTGGCTCAGTGGATAGAGCCTTGGCCACCAGACTCAAGGATCCCAGGTTCCATTCTGGTCAAGGGCACATGCCCACCCACTGGGGAATGTGCAGGAGGCAGCTGATCAATGTTTCTCTCTCATCCATGTTTCTGGCTCTCTGTCCCTCCCCCTTTCTCTCTGTGAAAAGTCAATAATACATATATATTATTGACTTTATATATATATTGACTTTATACATATATATTATTGATATATATACATATATATACACACATATTAAATACATATTATATATTATATATTATATACATTATATATAATATATATATTATATATCTATTTAAATATGCTAATAGCCCTAACCAGTTTGGCTCAGTGGATAGAGCGATGGCCTGTGGACTGAAAAGTCCCAGGTTTGATTCCGGTCAAGGGCATGTCCCCAGTAGGGAGTGTGCAGGAGGCAGCTGATGGATGTTTCTCTCTCATTGATGTTTCTAGCTCTCTATCCGTTTCCCTTCATCTCTGTAAAAAAATCAATAAAATATATTTAAAAATAGAATATGCCAATAATAGGCTAAGGCTGCTCAACCGCTCGCGATGACCACCAGGGGGCAGAGCTCTGACGCTCCCACTGGAAGGGTAGCTTACTGCTGGGGTCCAGCGGATCGGGACTGAGTGAGACAGACTGGACACCGTCTGGGGCCGGCCTGCAGCCCCTCCCCAGCTGGCCAACCCCCCGTGTCCCTCCCTCGGCCCTGGTCCTGCACGGCTGGGTGGGGTGCCTCAGCCTGGCCCGCGCCCCCTTGCAATCCGGGGCCCTGGGCTCTGACCCGCACTGACCACCGGGGTGCAGATGCTCCACGCAGGGGCCGCCCCCTGGTGGTCAGTGCGGTCCCACAGGGGGGCGATGCTGGGCCAGGAGCTGGGGGAGCGCGGGGGCGGGCGCGGTTCCACCTCCCCCAAGGGCTCCCGGGCTGAGGGAGACGCTCCCTCCCCACCCCGGGCCCCTGGGTAAGAACACGGAAAGGCCGCTCCCTCTTCCCGTCACAAACTCCCAAGACGCGCCAGGCGCTGCCCGTCCAGACGCCAGTCTGTCTCTTGCGCGCGGGAAAGAGGCGCCCAGATTCCCGGATGTTCCCGGCTCAGCCGCCCCTGCGCGGCTCCCCCGGCGACCCCTCAGCCCCTCAACACCTCCTCCCCTCCCCCCTTACACCGGGCCCGACGCGGGGCCTGGGCGGCAGGAGGGACGGGCGCCCGCCCCGGGCGGCAGGGGTGGGTGGGGGGTGCGGCGGCGGGAAGGCCCGGGGGACGCGCTCACCTCATCCGGGCGCCTCGGCAAAGCCGCCGCCGCCGCCATCGGGCTCTGCGGGCGGGGGCGGCCCGGGTGGGCGGCCGCGGTCCCGGTCAGTCCCCGGAGGAGCCTCCGGCCTCGCCCCCGCGTCTCCGCGGCGGAACCCGGGACTCGGGCGCCTCCCCGGTGCCAGCGGGGCGTTCTAGGCCCACCGCTCCGCAAGCCTCCGACGCGATGTAAGGGTCCGTGAGGCGCCGAGTGACCGCCACGGAGGAGGCCGGAAGTCCCGCCTTGGCGGGCTCCGAAGACCGGAAGGACCTCGTCCTGAGCCGCCCCATTGGCTTGTCATCTCGGCCTCTCGCGCACAGACTCCTGGGTAATGTAGTTCCCAGATCCCTGGGCCCCAGAAGGAATGTGTTCCCGCTTGGATCAGAGAAAGGGCAGGCCTGAGGAAGGGTGAGGGGCCCGGCGGTGGTGTACAGTGGATAGCTCCTAGGCCTGCGGACTCAGGGGTCCCAGGTTCCATTCAGGTCAAGGGCATGTACCTTGGTTGCAGGTACGCAGGAGGCAGTGATAAATATTTCTCTCATCCCTCTCCCTCCCTGCCTGTAAAAAAAGCAATAAAATATATATTTTTTTTAAATGGTGAGGAGCCGGGCGGGTGGTGCTCAGTGGATAGAGTGTATGCCTGTGCACTTAAGGGTCCTGGGTTTGATCCCAGTGGCCTGGTTGTGGCTTCATCCCCAGTAGGGGGTGTGCAAGAGACAGCAAAACCTCTCTCCCTCACTGAAATCGGGTTTTTTTGGGGGTTTTTTAAGGTTTTTTTTTTTTTTTTTTTTTTAAATATATATTTTATTGATTTTTCACAGATAGGAGGAGAGAGGGATAGAGAGTTAGAAACATCGATGAGAGAGAATCATCGATTAGCTGCCTCTTGCACACCCCCTACTGGGGATGTGCCCGCAACCACGGACATGCCCTTGACCAGAATCGAACCCGGGACCCTTCCGTCCGCAAGCCGATGCTCTACCGCTGAGCCAAACTGGTCCTGGCTTTAAGGTTTTTAAATAAATGGTGAAGGGAAGAGGGCAGACTGGCAGGGTATATGAATCAAGCGGGTATACTTTCTAACTTCTTTTTCTAGAAATATATTTTATTGATTTTTTACAGAGAGGAAGGGAGAGGGATAGAGAGAAACATCCCTGAGAGAGAAACATCGATCAGCTGCTTCCTGCACACCCCCAACTGGGGATGTGCCTGCAACCAAGGTACATGCCCTTGACCGGAATCGAACTTAGGACCCTTCAGTTTGCAGGCCGATGTTCTATCCACTGAGCCAAACCAGTCAGAATTATAATTTTCATTTTTATCGATGCAGAAAATGCACTCCCAAGAGGCCAATTGGCAGGTAAAGATTGGCAATAATTGGCTGGTCTGGCTCAGGACTAAAGGAAGTTCATAACAATGTATCTACCTATATAGTTTAAGTTTAAAAAAATTGGTTCTACCGAAACCGGTTTGGCTCAGTGAATAGAGCATCGGCCTGTGGACTGAAGGGTCCCAGGTTCGATTCCGGTCAAGGGCATGAACCTTGGTTGGGGGCACATCCCCAGTGGGGGGTTTGCAGGAGACAGCTGATCGATGATTCTTTCTCATCGATGTTTCTAACTCTCTGTCCCTCTCTCTTCCTCTCTGTAAAAAATCAATAAAATATATATATATATTTTTAAATGTGGCTCTCTTGTCAACCTTCAGACTGAAGGATCCCAGGTTCGATTCCAGCCAAAGGTGCATGCTGAGGTTATGGGCTCCATCCCCAGTCGGGGCATGGGGGAGGCAGCTGATCGGTGGTTGTCTCTCATCATGGATTTTTCTCTCTCTCTCTCTCCTTTTCACTTCTCACTTCTTCTCTGAAATCAATAAAGAAATATATTTTTAAAAAACTTGGCTCTCCCCAGAACCAGTGTGGCTCAGTGGGTAGAGCGTCAGCCTGAGGACTGAAAGGTTCCAAGTTCAATTCCAGTCAAGGGCATATACATTGGTTGCGGTCACATCTCTGGTAGGGTGTGTGCAGGAGGCAGCTGGTTGATGTTTCTCTCTCATCGATGTTTCTAGCTCTCTATCCCTCTCCCCTTCCTCTCTGTAAAAAAATCAATAAAATACATTTTTTAAAAAATAAAAATAAAAATTTGGCTCTCACAAGAAATTTCAATCTTTGTCCTGTTGATAGTAGGCTCTGCTGACTAATGAGTTTGCCGACCACTGACTGGGTTAGGGAAATGGGGTTGTTTCCAGCATGGACTTGTATTTCCGGTCAGGAGCAAGGAAAGAAGATACAACTTCTCATTCCTACGTACAAAGCTGGACTTTCCTCTTGCTGATGACACGATAATTACCCATGCACCACAAGACCTGAGAGGCAAGGAGGGCTAGGTTATGGGTTTATTTTGTGTCACAGACTTCCAGCTTCCTTCCCTGAGGGTTCGCAGGTCCACAGGCTGCCGTCCCACCGCCGGGTGTCCCCTGCACAGGGCAGCACGCCCCAGGCCTGAGGCTGTCTCGCTGGCGTCCTTGGGGTCCCCGTGTCGGCCAGGGACCCAGCGTTCCGTGTGGAGCTTCCTTTACTGCGTCGGCTCGCTCTCGGATTCTCCTCCGTCGAGGCGCTGTCTTCGTTTGGATCGAATGGCTAAAATAGAGGCACAGTGTCGTTAAGGTACAAATACCGGAAGGAACAGAGAGGGAGGGAAAGGGCCGATGGGAAAAGGATGGAAAAATGAAGGTGTGAATGGTGGGGTTTTGAGGACATGAGGCGTGTGACTTGATAAGGAGGGTGAAATTTAAAAAAAAAAATTTAATTATTTTTTTAAATTTCTTTATTGATTAAGGTATCACATATTTGTCCTCAACCCCCATTCCAATCCCCTACCCCCCCACTCATGCCCTCACCGCCCTATTGTCCTTGACCACTGGTTAGGCTCATATGTGTGCACACAAGTCCTTTGGCTGATCTCTGCCTTTTATCCCCACCCTCCCTCTGAGGTCCGACTGTCTGACCCCTGGCTCCTTGTCTCTGGGTCTGTTCTTGTCCATCCATCTATGTTGTTCACCCTTTCCCCTAGATGAGTGAGATCATGTCCTACTGGAAATTTACTTATAAGAATAAAAAATGAGACAAGCATTAATCATTATGCTGAGAGGCATATGAATCAGTCTGTAGAGAGTTTCTTTCTGGGCCACCAGTTCTTTTGAGACCCAATTTCAATGTCAAACAGTTCCTTATGTGTACATGACAGCAATGATATTTCAGTTCTGGATGGGGGGTGAAAATTTTAAATTTTATTTTATTTTATTTTTTATTTATTTTTTTTTTCATTGATATAACCATGTGTTTGTTTTATTTTATTTATTTATTTATTTATTTTTAAATCAATCTTTATTGTTCATATTATTACAAAGGTTCCTCATTTCTTCCCCCCTCCACCAGGTTCCCACCCCACCCTCTGCCCCCTCCCCATCCCCCATTGTCCTCATCCATAGGTGCAGTTTATGTTCAGTCTCTTCTTCCCTCAATTTCCCCGATAGTAAATCCCTTTTCAGATAGTAAATCAGTTACTTAGCATTTTCTCATATCAATAATACCTCCACATGCCCAATGATACACTTCACACAAAAGACATTTCCCAATAGGTCCACCAGCCTCATCTAGGCCCCACCCAAGGCACTCACAGATCAACACCCCAGCCCTATACTAACTCAACACATCCAGATCTAAGCCTTCATCACTTGATTCAGCAGACCCTCAAGTTCCCGCGAAAGTTTCCAGCCATGTCTGAGAGGTAGCCATGGGGCAGGGGCAGGCGAGGAGTGAGCTGTTCCGGGCCTGGCTGCTCAGGGCCTGGCCTCTGTTGCTCTGGTTCGTTCCACAACCAGCTGCTCCGGGTCTGGTCACTGCCGCTCCCGACCTAGTTGCTCTGGACTTGGCTGCTGCTGCTCCGGGCCTGGCCGCACCCGACCCGGCTGCACCCCCGGGCCTGGCCGCTCCCAGCCTGGCAGCCGCTGCTCCGGGCCTGGCCGCACCAGCCCCGCCTGCTCCCCCGGGCCTGGCCGCTCCCAGCCTGGCAGCCGCTGCTCCGGGCCTGGCCGCACCAGCCCCGCCTGCTCCACCGGGCCTGGCCGCTCCCAGCCTGGCAGCCGCTGCTCCGGGCCTGGCCGTACCAGCCCCGCCTGCTCCCCCGGGCCTGGCCGCTCCCAGCCTGGCAGCCGCTGCTCCGGGCCTGGCCGCACCCGACCCGCCTGCTCCCCCGGGCCTGGCCGCTCCCAGCCTGGCAGCCGCTGCTCCGGGCCTGGCCGCACCCGACCCGCCTGCTCCCCCGGGCCTGGCCGCTCCCAGCCTGGCAGCCGCTGCTCCGGGCCTGGCCGCACCCGACCCGGCTGCTCCCCCGGGCCTGGCCGCTCCGAGCCTGGCAGCCGCTGCTCCGGGCCTGGCCGCACCCGACCCGGCTGCTCCCCCGGGCCTGGCCGCTCCCAGCCTGGCAGCCGCTGCTCCGGGCCTGGCCGCACCCGACCCGCCTGCTCCCCCGGGCCTGGCCGCTCCCAGCCTGGCAGCCGCTGCTCCGGGCCTGGCCGCACAAGCCCCGCCTGCTCCCCCGGGGCCTGGCCGCTCCCAGCCTGGCAGCCGCTGCTCCGGGCCTGGCCGCACCCGACCCGCCTGCTCCCCCGGGCCTGGCCGCTCCCAGCCTGGCAGCCGCTGCTCCGGGCCTGGCCGCACCCGACCCGCCTGCTCCCCCGGGCCTGGCCGCTCCCAGCCTGGCAGCCGCTGCTCCGGGCCTGGCCGCACCCGACCCGCCTGCTCCACCGGGCCTGGCCGCTCCCAGCCTGGCAGCCGCTGCTCCGGGCCTGGTCGTACCAGCCCCGCCTGCTCCCCCGGGCCTGGCCGCTCCCAGCTTGGCAGCCGCTGCTCCGGGCCTGGCCGCACCCGACCCGCCTGCTCCCCCGGGCCTGGCCGCTCCCAGCCTGGCAGCCGCTGCTCCGGGCCTGGCCGCACCCGACCCGCCTGCTCCCCCGGG